TGGTTTTAGTTTGAATAAACAGTTTTATCGATAGTGCATTTCCACAAATAAAGTCTCCGCTACGAGTAATGCAAGTGTCACCTTGATTTTCAGTTATGAGAAATAGCTTCAAAGATCTGCAGCCAAAAAAGTTTTTTTGGTCATTTCAAAAAATTATCGAAACATTTAGCAGCTGCAGCTATGAACTACATGAAAATTTTTGCGAAGCCTGAGCAGAGCGAACCAAATCTGGGAGCTGGAGCTGAGACATTTTGAAGAATTCGAAGATTGAGCTAAAACTGGGGCTGAACTCAAAAAAATGTGGAACTTGAATCGAAATTCTTTAAAACATTGAGTCGGATCCTTCTGAAATAAGTGGTTGGAGCCGAAATTTCCAAATTTCAGAACAGCAGATGAATTTCCTAAAAGCGTGGAGGTAGAACTGGAGGTTGAGACGAACTTCCGAAACTGCAAAGCTAGAGTCTGTATTGAGGAAATTCTTTTAAATGTGGGCACCACCGATTGAGAGATGTTCAAGCGTAAACGCCTAATATTCCAATATAAAGTAATAATCACAGTTCGACACCTCGAACCTATTACTTATGAGTTTTGTTATCTCCGTTAGCAATATAGTTCCACATCACTAAAGATTCTGTTTTATGTATCGTGACAGAGACAGGTTTTCATTCGACTCATGTTCAGGGTAATATATTGGTTTAGTTATTCATTATGATTTCTTCACTGTTTTCGATTACCAAACAGCTACTGTTCAGTCCAATTGACAAACAAATGAGTTGTTAATGGTGTTGCTTCAAATGCCATTTTTCGCTATTTATCAAACAGTTATATTATCGGTCGAACCGCAAATTTCTGTTTGGAGAGCAAAAGCGACATGTCTATCACAAATATTTAACACAACAAAAGATTCAAATTGGTGAACAACAACAACAACAACTAAAGGTCTCGCTCACCGCAGCACTCATAAAGTGTGTCCATCTGCTGAGGTCGGCGAGTGGTGCAGATGGACCGGTTTTCTGTTATAGAGGGAGCACAGTTGCTGGGAACGAATCATGCATTTGAATACGGTTCATTTTATGTAAATAATATGCATGAGAACGACGAACACACTTGCAACCAGTTGAATAGTTCTGAGGGAACGATTAGAGATAAACGTTGCAGTGAGTGAATGGATATGACGATATTAACTGGATGTGTTGATTGAGTTCTCTTGTAGTGTTGATATGATTCGATTAACTGAATTGGCTTGCACGCTCAGGAGGAAAATATGTGGCAAAGAATGTTTTTATGCATGAGTTTCTTTAGATAGACTGTTACAGTGATGCTTGGTGAATTAACTTCATTATGCAATTGAATGCATGCATGTAATGAACGTTCAAAACATTCACAAACGTGTTATGTGACCGTTTTCGATATAGCACGTATAAAAAGCATCACTTAAAAGCACCCTCAAGCATTCACACAAATAACTGTTCTCCGGGCCATCCACATCCCCATTGACGCAGTCGGTCCATTTCAAAACATTCAACATGGACGAGGTTCCTATTCGAATTAAAGCGTATCGTTTCGTTGCATATTCAGCTATCGCCTTCTCGGTTGTAGCCGTAATATCGCTATGTGTCACATTACCGATGGTCTACAACTATATCACGAATGTTCGTCAACAAATGCATCACGACATTAATGAATGCAAGGTTAGTGACGCATAGCTGACGAAATTTATCATTCTTATTTGTGACTGAGTCATTTATATCCATACAATGCGATAAGGTCATGAATTCAGTGCTATGTGATGATTGATTTAGTTGTAATATGAATCGTGAATGTTTCTTCCGAAATTTCAATCGAACTTGCAGTTAGGAAGACAAAAATCAAAAAATAAATAAACGAAAAGTGAACGAGCGATTCATCTGGCATGCACGTAGTCGGAATCATTTCAGAACTCCGTGAAAGATGTTTGGAGTAATGTGCATGAACTGAAAAATGTTGAAGAGGTACGGAATCGTACAGCTCGTCAAGCTGCTTACAGAGACGGTGCTGCACAAAGAGCGGTTAGCATTGGCGTAAATGCAGCTGGATGTCAATGCTGTAATCCTGGTTTACCAGGACCACTTGGCACTCCGGGAAAACCCGGAAGACCTGGTCGACCTGGGGCACCTGGATTCCCAGGTGTACCAGGTAGAGCTGGTGCTTCAGCTTGTCAACCAATTACTCCGCCACCATGTAAACCATGCCCACGGGGACCACCTGGACCACCTGGTCCAGTAGGTCCACCCGGAGACGCTGGATTTCCCGGCGCGCCCGGAGTGAACTCCGGCGTCGCTGTACCTGGTCCCACTGGACCTTCTGGTCTCGCCGGCAAACCAGGAAATCCTGGTCCAATGGGACTACCCGGAGACGCAGGCATTCCAGCGAGGAGTGAAGCGATTGTACCTGGATCACCTGGACCACAAGGTTGGTTTTTGTAAGGTTATCGTCTTGGATTGAAATCATTTTCTCAGTGCGGATGAACTGTCCAGATTAATTATTCTGATGAATTTTTTTACTACGAAAGTTTCGGCATGGTTGCTTAGTTCCTCGAAGAGATATTTGTTGGAAACATTTATTGTTTTCTGTTTTCGAATTATATCTGGTGACTGTATGCAAAGAAATTCATTGATGTGTTTTGCAGGAGATATGGGACCACCTGGACCAGTGGGTCAACCAGGCCAGCCGGGTTTCGGTGGTGGACAAGGTCGCCCAGGATCACCTGGTCCTCCTGGCCCGCCTGGTTTGTCTGGACCTGACGGTCTGTCTGGTTTGCCCGGTATACCAGGCCAAGCAGGTGCTCCAGGAGAGAAGGGTATCTGCCCTAAATATTGCGCTATCGATGGTGGAATATTCTTCGAGGATGGAACTCGTCGTTAGTGATCTTCAGATGGGATGTCAAAATCACGGCAATGATAGTAGTCGAATAAAAATTGTCGATGTAGATGTCGAATAAAAATTTTCCTCAATTGCTTCCCTGAGGATTAATGCATTTCACAAAGTTCGTTTGTTTATGGACACAACTCAATCGATTCTTCATAAGTCATAATATCTGATAGATATTAATCTTTCAACTACAAAATATGTTAAAACAGTTTAAAATCGAGAGCTGTATCCGCCTGTTTGTTGAAATGGCGTAACCGAGTGAGGATTTCGACTGCAAACCACACCACAGTATGAATAGACGAATAAGTATTTATGGAGAAGCGATGTTATTACTGAATCAGAGTATGAGTATGCTATTATTGAGAAGGCAACACTGCTTTAACTGAATCGTTCGATGAGCGCTTGAACCTTCCGCGTGAATAAAACTGACAGTGAGTTTGACAACTGATTATATCTATTCCAATTCGTGCCATACGTGAACATTTAACATCTTTAAAGGAATCTTTCAATCATGTTGGAGACCTAAAATGTTTGAGTGATATGAATTATTGGTCACAGAAAACTTAATGTTCTAAATGTCAATTGGTGACAAGGGTTTTTTGGCGACAAGGATTCAATTGGTGACAAGGTGACAAGGGTGACAAGGAAAAGATTTTTTCAAAGAAAAACAGTGCTGGAGGATAATTTTTCCAGAACTCAGAAATTTATTTCCGAATTGCACAAATTCAAATTGAAATAGTGATGTAAAAAGAGCTGATTCGATGGTGTCCTCGAATGAATGCCCTCAATGCATATCGATCGCTATGAATGATCATCATCAGCAATGTTGTCCCCCATTCGCACTAGAATGTAACAACGGCGATTGTTATCTGGGGTTGATAATAAAGATAGTTATCGGATAGTATTAAAGGACGAGTGCAGAGTTTATTCGATGAGCGTTCACATGGCCATACGAACAACAACTTTCTTAAGTCATAGAAATGGTTTCTAGGAGGAGTGCCATCCGAAATTCCTTTCGCCTAGTACTATTCAAAATTCCATGTTACCCATCAGGTAGAAATATTAATCTAATGAACAGTATGCTAATAAATGCAATTTCCACTCATACGTAATGCTCAAAAGCTCTTCTATTCGGCTCCGGCAGTATAAACAAGCGTGTTCTGCAACTACAATAACAATAATGATCAAGAAAATAGCAGTATTGATACCAGTAATGATCTGTAATCATGGCTCTTTTCTATTGTAAGGTTACGTAAGATGTAATCACCGAGATATTTCAACAAGAGACCTTATTTACCTTGACGCGTCCGTTACATGCCCTCTATTCGAGGAGAGAACAACGTTGTTGATAATTCGTTACAGCAATAGGAACGCATGCAGGGTAATTGAGTGTATCATTTGAGTGACCTGATTTAAACAATTGTTTCGTGTTGAATCTGCGCAGCTTGCAAACGAATTTCTAAATCTTGCAGAAATTCTTCTCCAGAGGTAATACGCTTTTTCTTTAGTTCCAAAAAAGTATTGAGAACGTTGGTCGCTGTATTTTTTCACGACATTTTTCATCTTTTCAAAAATTTTGACCAAATAAATCAAAACTGATTAGATCATTTGATTAGATTATGCTGTTTTCATACAACATTGCGACTTTGAATCGTTTGATTAATTTTCGAATTATGTGCATAAGTAGAATTGACAGTGAGTTTGATTACCTACTTATTTCGTGCCACATTTAAACATACTTTCAGTACCTTCAAAAGGATGATGTTTCAGCTGTGCTCACGACTTTAAAACTTCAATCATATGAAGTGACAATTAACAGAAAACTTGACGTCCTAAAGGTCAACTGGTGACAAGGGAAAGAGTAAAATTCCTGAAAGGAGAACAACGCTGAGAAAACGAATTCTTGAAGGTGATATTTATCAAGCATGAAGAAGGTGCAAGAACGTTCCTTAATACTGCACATCATCGCATTGCTAATTCTTAGCAATATTCTACGATGCACGATCAATGTGAACGAAATGAATCGATGTGGTTATTGAATTTTACTCATTTTCGATTCCTTCTTTATTGTCACTGTTACGATGATGATATGCTTTCTCGACCTGACAAAGATGCTCTGTTCGGAATCAACCAAAAATGTTAAGGAGAGCAGTTCAAGTTGGATGATCTGATGAATGACCAAGGATTACGTCGGATCGTTGATGAACTTGGCGATTATTTTGGAGTGATGATGTTGAATACTCATGCACTCAATATCACTTTTAATTGGCTGTGCAATACGGCATCAATGGAAAATGTCCATAATCGTACACTATTCTTCACCGTTGACAAACACGCTTACGATGTGCTATCGGAGGCATATCCGCGTCTGCATATTTTCCTGTGGAACACACCGTGCTTACAAGTGAGCCATCATAATCGCTATCATTATTCATTTGCATTCGTCATCTCAATAATAGCAGTCCACTTCGAGAGTAGGTCACTGAGAAGTATTATAGTTCTGTTGTTGAAACGCATTGTTTGTTTAGCTTTATCGAAATTAATAGTCCTTTTAAACGTTTTTTTGGGTTATTGCTGATGAGGTATGGGTGGAAAGCTACAGCTGACTGATTTTGACCGCAGATTATCTGATCTTATTTCATGCTATTAAGTTTGTAAACATATTTTGTCTCGACGAATATTCGGCATCAACATGTAACGAGTGGGTTGCCTTAATGACTAAGGGCTAGGCTAAGTTCTGTTGAAAGTGGTGATAAATTAATTAGCGGAATTAGTTGGAACAATAATTAAGTTCTAGATGTTTAGAGGCGTTTCGAGACCATGGATGCGACGTATATGAGTTTTTTTCTGCTGAGAACGACGTTAATACGTGCACTACTGGGGATGAAACGTTCATTTTGGATGATTCAAGCAGATACTATTTGGCGGAAAAATGTTTATGTTGCACACGATTGGAGTGCGATCAATGCGAACGTACTTCTAGATCAACAAGGTGGCTGGCTTTATGTTAAATATGAATCATTGCACTCACAAGAGGAGGTCGCGAACTTACCCCAACATTTCGGGATGAAATATATATCATATTGTAGGACTCATATAGCTGATTATAAATATGCAAAAATTTTTTGCGGAGCACAAGGGGAACGCGAGATATGGCGGGGGAAGATTTTCAGTGCATTGAAGTGAGATACTGAATTATTGTCAGAACTATGAATCGTTAACATCAACAAACTTGATTTCTCACTCTCAATTTCTCACTCTTGATTTCTGTTTTACGCCCTCCAACGGTTTTCATCATATTCCTTCCACACTTAAAAGCAAGTGTTGAACAAGACGAGAGAAAATGACTTCATGAAATTTTATCAACACTGTGCAGTGGATGATATCACAGTTTGCCAAGAGATTATTTTAGGCTACGACGGATCGAGAGAGGCACGTAAAAAACAGATGAATGGTGCTAATTTCCTAGTGAGATATTCGCATCGAACTGAGCAACTGTTCGAAAATTTATATTGGTATCAAAGCCACTTTTATATAGCCGATCCGGATGCAATCAAAATCCCGTGCAGTCACACGAATGTTTATGATTGTCGCTTCATTGATCATAGGTCATTCATTCTAACGTCTTCACGGCTTTTATCCTAACCATATTTTGTGATATACATCAATTTATATTCATTTTCCGGCTGTAGTCATTAGCTGTAATGATGGAATATGAACAGATCAATGATAACAATTCAAAACTACAGCATCATAACTGGTTGGGAATGGATATACGGTGATCAGAGCAATGCACCGTTGTTGATGCAGATGGACGGTGAGACGAATGGCAATAAAGAAAAAACACTCGAGAATTATAAATTATGGTTTCTGGACGAACACAGCAAATGCGTCACACAAAAAGTGCTCACTGCCAAACAGCTGTTGATGTCCGGAAAGGTGTGAAATATCCTGATATATCTCACCATATACGGTGATCAAAGCGATGATATGGTGCAAACAGATCAGTGATAACAATTAAACGGATCACGATGACAATCTAGTATATCTAACAAGAATATAGCGATACCAATAGTAAAAATTTTAGTCGCTCGGATCTTCTTACGGAACTGCTTTTTGTTATGTTCACAGTTGGTTACCGTTCATTATTTCGGCTTCAGTGGTACTATTGTGAATAGAGGGAATTTGNCTACTCTCTTCATCGAAATTGAGACAGCAATTTTTGTTGCTGCTTGGCGAAGCTCTGGGCGATTTACCGATTTTCGGTTCATTCTATCGTGTTTATGGAGGGATTCCATCGATTTATTTACAATTCTTTTGAACGTCCATCAGTATTAATTTCGAAGATTTGGTGTATTATTGAATGTGTACTTTTAGACTGACAACAATACGTATTTAAAGCTTATCGAAGTAACCTTAAGTGCTTTTATATCTCAATTTCTTGATCAACATCTTATTACGTTAAGACATGAATGTTGTGATGATGATTTTTCCAGTTCTAGGAAGCTGTGTTTTGTACATAATTACACGTGAGTGATTGATTATATTAACCAAATTTGACTGGATCAACTGATGAGAAAATCGAATGCAAATAATCAAATAAATAATGCTAACAATACTTTTATAAATGTTTTCATTGTAATGCCCCTCATTACAATCGGTTCAATAAAATTGTTTGCCTTCGTTGTCCTCCGAAAAACGTTTTCACGATCATTCGAAATCATTTTACTGTTTCAAACAAATGGTATTGGATATCCCAATCAGTTTGCACGAACCAAACCTTCACAAAATCGCCGACAACGATGTTAATCGGTTATGTGGCAAAACGTTCGTTCAGTAAATCTTTAAGGCGGAAATACGTATGTCAAAATTTATAATGCATTTCGAACGGCAGCTGATTTTATCACTTTTCGTTTGTCGTTATAATGTTTAAAAGGTTTATTCAAAGGATACTGTTTCCTTTTCGAGCTAACTTGAATTCTCTTGAAACTGTTACCTGCAACGAGTTACTAAAAGGGCGAAAGTCTGTTTTGTTGAAGGTAATCGTGCAGTTCAGCGCTTCATCAGTCTGGTGAAAATTTGTGATTTCAGTCGATTTGTAATGTAATTCTGTTTCAGACAGATATGGATGCGAAACTGCAAATTCGATTTTCGAAACTTTCTGAAAATGCCCAGATGCCTAAGTATGGTTCGGATTGGGCTGCTGGAGCCGACCTGTATAGTGCATGCAACTGCACGGTTCCAGCAAAAGGTCGTCAGTTACTCAGTTTCTCACGTTTAGAAATAGTTTTGTTGCTCTCAAACTGTCTTCAGAAGTTAGTGTGCTTAAGAGGTTGATGAGTAAAATAAAATGGCAAGAGTAATTTTGTATGACTCTCTGGAACAGGTAGCTCTTCCGGGTACCTTCCATCGAACCCATTTGATTTCAAAACAACGATTCACAATGACCACAGCTAAGTATTTTTGATGGAGTCTT